ACAGTCAAACTCATAGATCGAAAACAAACTGACAACGCCATGGCCAAAAATAAAAAGACAAACAGACAAATAATAGTACAGATGACACAACATATATATGATTAACTGCGGACCAACGAAATTTATTATTTTTTTTATTTTTACCGATAATCATTGAAAAGACGACCATTTTGCATATTTATCTAGCTGTACAGTACAGAAATGCACACTTGAAGTTTGATATTGCTGTTTTTTATACTTTACGTTAGAATGCCAGATTTTTATTTGTTAAAACGAGGGTGACAATTAACTCAATCCCATGTCTCAACGGGAGATAATTTTTTGAACACAGTTGTCATTTATATTTGAGAGAGAGAGAGAGAGAGAGAGAGAGAGAGAGAGAGAGAGAGAGAGAGAATTCCAAGTAGAATGTAAACCTTAGCAATTGACATACTAAGGAAATAGGTGTGCAATTATACTTGATTTTACAATTTCCTTCAGGAATTGTCGTATGATGTTGTAAATAAAAGTATCAAACCCGATTTGTTATTGCTGCTGATATTTTAAAGTATTTCTCCAAGAGGATAATTGTATTATGCTGAGCCCTGTTATAAATTGCCTGCATGAAGATATATTATTCGTATCACACTGAACGGAGTTTGTATGAATAAGTGGTACGAAAAATACGTTAACTTGGGTGGCCTATCTTACAATGTATATCGACATTGCTAAATTTCCAATGGCTACTGAATTGAATAACTCGAATTGATATCAAGCGATATCTAATTCACTCTCGTTATGAAATCTGTAAACGTAATAACAACGTCTGTAAATTTGCCAGTCCGATAAAAGTGCTATACTCTTTAGAAGTAATATTATTGGTTCTAACATTGTGTCTAAGTCTCCGTAATATAATGTATAATAAAATAAACAATCTACGATTAAGCTGTTCGACTTGCTTTTATACAAACCAAATACATGTACAACTATTGAAATCTTAAGAAGAGAGGCAAAATCTAATTTAGGTATGAAGTGAAAGGCTGTATACTAAACATGTGCGCACGACCAACTGCTTCATAACCCTATGATTAAAAAAAATGATTTCGTAGAAGTGATATCATGAGTTACTAAGTCTCCGCTATATAATGTATAATAAAATAAGCAATCTACGATTAAGCTGTTTGACTTGCTTCTTATATACAAAGCGAATACAGCTATTGAAATCTTAAGGAAAGGAGAATGTAATTCGGGTATCAAGTAGAAGGCTTTACACTAAAAATGTGCGCACGACCAACGGTTTCATAACCTTAGAAGAAGCTTGAATTCTTGGTATGAAATGGTTGGTATCAAAATACCATAAATGCAGTCTGTTTTTTTTCTTTTATTTTGATTGAAAGTATTTAATTTTACATTCTTTTGTATTTAATTGTTTAATAACATAAACGATACCAATTTATTTTTCACTAGATGCACATTTAGAACACCAAATGTCTCTTCAATGATGATTGAGGCCAAAATGTTTGATAATCCAAAGCTAATTTAAAATATCAAGAGCTTATGAACCAAAAAAGACAAAAAAGCATATTAAAATAAAGGAATCACAGCTTTGCGTGAGGGCGATATATTCCCTAATTTAAAATATTTTCCAAAATTTTGTTACTGCAAAATTTAAAAGCAGAAAATCCGTATTTTCATGCCAGCACCGCAGAACTGGTTACTGGGATGATGATACCCTCAGGGACTAACAGTCCACTAGAAGATAAATATCGACCCAGTGGTAGTAAAAACTTTGAATATATCTACAATATTATACATATCAATTTACAACAGAATTCTGATAAAAGTCGTTTTTCCTTTAATCAGGTGTCGTGAAGAAATAAAACAAGCGATTCAGATATAATGCAGTCAGCAATATTAAAATTTCTGTTTTCCCACTGTGAACTTTTTATTTGTATTTAGCAGTATTCTAGCAGGACCTATAATAAATATTATATGAATTGTATGTATTCTGGTTGATTAAATATTCCATAGCTAGAATTAAACGTATGAAAATGTTTCTCTGAAAATATATTCATTTGTCTAGGACAGATTTCATCCACTTTTTTTTCATTGATGATACATGTATAAGCGAATGCGATTATTACCGAATTTTCTTTTTTAAAGGAAGAATGTAGAGGAAACAGGAACTCCTTATCCAACCTTAGTTCTGTAGACTTATTACTGCAGAACAAAAATCACCATCAATATACAATTTTTCGTATTTTACTGATAACTTGATTTCGTTCTTTGACATTTGATATAACACTTCTTAAAGTAGAAATATCACGCTTACAGAGTGTTCAGGAGAAACATCCAAGATCTTTTATTTTTTTTTTTTGTCTTAAAGTCATATTTCTCTAAGTCAATATTTATTAGTCCCATACTATCTTTTACTTGTTCTTAATGGAAAAGCGAAGAGTAATAAGAATATAGATATAGGTTGTATGAAATGAAATGGCCGAAATGATCTCACAAATGAAATAAATATTCGGGACATATAACGTTCGTAAGCGTAACTATCCATCCAGAAATACAGTTTCTACAGAAGTGTCCCTGTTTCAACAGAGATATCTACATATGAATTTGTGATCTGAGTTATGAGTAATATACCTAGGTGTAACATTATGAACTGCATATTAAATTGAATACTTAAAGTAAAGGCAAGAGGAGTATAATTTTTTGTTGTTGCTTTACGTATATTTGCAAATACTGCATGCTTCATAAGCAAATGAACAGAAAAAGTAGATCAGTTTGTTAAGTACAGTCGGGATCAGTTATAAAGCTTGCGAAATCGAAAATATTTCAAGGTGTTGTAAATATATTTTAAATTCATTATTTGATTTCATTAATAATAACAAAAAAGATCTCCAAACTCGTTTGTTATAATATAGAAATTAAATAACTCGTGAGTTGACATGAAGCAACACCTTATTCTCTCTCGTTAAGAAACTTATCAATTTATTTTCAAAGTCTGTAAAATTGTCAGTCCGACAAAAGAGCTATCCTCTATTTAACTAATATCATTGGTCGATCAGTCTTTGTAATATAATGTACAATAAAATAAGCTATTTACGATTAAGGTGTTTGAATTATTTCTTTTATATAAACTTAAGACAATTGATGAAATTGTAATGGAAGCAGAATGTAATTAAGGTATAAAGTGGAAGCGATTCATACTAAAAATGAGCGCACGACCAACGCTTTTATAACTCTATAATAAAAAAGCCTGAATGATTTGGATGAAATGTTTAATATAAAAATAAGCTAAAACAAATCTGTTTTTTAAAGATAAGATAATATTTAAAAGATAAAATGTAACATTCTTTTATTTCTAAATTGCTTTATATCCGAATTTCTGTCGTTACAACATGTACAACAATAACATATATTTTAGCTGAAATATTTCACAAATCAATTTACAACATCATTTTTGATAATTTAAATGTTTCCACAGTGAAAATTACATTCATTTTGTATTTAGCAGCACTTTACAAGGACCACCTATATATGGATTGTATATCTCCTGGTTGATATGATATCCCATAGCGTGCAATTAAATTGATTAGAATTTCCTTGATAGAGAGTAACTGCATACGAAAAACGTACTTAACAAAGGCTTTCGTGGAAAGTTAACGTTATCTTTTCAAAAGTTTTTTGATCGTTACTATTAGATGGTCGAAGTTTTGAGATATCTGTTACATAGATTGCAAAGGAGCGATCCATCTGGCTTGACCACATTTCGTTCTCTTTGTTTCATTTATGAAATAGCGAATGCGAATTTTTACCTGATATTTCCTTATTTAAGGAAGAACGCAGTGGATGAATCTACTGAAACAGGAACTTTATTCATAAATGAATTTAGTTTTTTCACATTCAGCATAATATTTTTACACTTGAAGTATGCACTCACAGGCGAGACACAGGGTTCCCCAGAATCATTTACAATATTTTATATCTTTTTATCGTTTTTGTATTTTATCCATATTTCTCTCTGTCAACCAATCAGTTTTTGAATGACCCATCAGTATCTTTTAATTATTAAGCTAACAAGATTATAAGAAAAAATTTGTCTTGTCAAAAGGTATTAGAATAATAATTTCGATAAACAAATAGTATTCTTTTTTTGTTACTACTTAATGTAAAGGGGAAAATATTGCATGCTTAATAAGAATATAAATATAAATTGTATCAAATGAAAAGGTAGAAGAAATATCATAGATGAAATAGATAATCGGTACTTACAATTTTTCTAAGGATGATAATCCATCCAGAGATCCATTTTCTACTGAAGTGATTCTGTTTTCACTGAGATTTCTACAAATGAATTTGCTAACTGTATAATAAGTAATTTACCTGGGTGCAACTTTATACCTAATATGAACTGTATAAAGTATAAAAAGTGAGTTAAGATGATTACAAATTCTAATAAAATAAAAAATGTGAACTTTTGAAATGATCAGCATTTTGTAGGACCTATATATGGATTATATATCACCTACTAGAAACGATATTTGACAGGTTGCGATTAAATACATTAGAATTTTTTTGATAGAGAGTAACTGCATACGTAGAAGATACTTTACAATGGATTCTCTATGGTAAGTTAACGTTATCTTTTCAAAAAAAATTATGAATGCAATCATCATGTAACGAATCGATTCATATGGCTTGACCACATTTCGTCCTCTGTTTCATTTATGAAATAGCGAATGCGAATTTTACCCGATTTTTCATTTTAAAGAAAGAACACAGCGCGTGAATCTAGTGAGACAGGAACTATATTTATTAATAGATTAAGTCTTTTTATTTTCAGCATAATATTTTTAAATTGAAAGTATGCACTCACAGGCGAGGAAAAAGCTGATTTGCTGTTGCTTAAGGTAAAGGGGAAATATTGCATGCTTGATAAGAATATAGATATAGGTTGTAAGAAATGAAATGGCAGAAAAATATTTTAGATAAAATAGATAGTCGGTACTTACAACTCTCTTAAGGATGATAATCCATACAGAGATCCATTTTCTACAGAAGTGATCCTGTTTCTCTGGATAAATCTACAAAAACAATTTGTGAACTGAGTAATATGTAATTTACCAAGGTGCAACATTATATCTAATATGAACTGTTTATTGAATAGAAAGGAATAGCTTGAAGTAAAGGCAATTTACAATGTCTTAATTAAACTAAATGATAATCTTGTTGTTGTTGCTTAACGTATACTTTTAAATGTTTCATATTTCAGAAGCACATGAATAGAAAACAATAGGCCGTGGGACTCAGTTCTAAAGTTAGCAAATTCAAAATCATTTCACAAAGACAAAGATTCTTCAATTAATTTTTTTAATTCCAATACAAAATAATAAACATAAACTCTGCAGGCTTTTTTATTTATATAAAAATATATTAAATCCAATTGATATCACTCGATATAAAATTTACTCTAGTTATGAAATCTATAGATATACTTACAAATTCTGTAAATTTGTCAGTTCGATAAAAGGACTATCTGCTATAGAACTAATATTATTGTCTGCCAAGTCTCTGTAATATGATATATAGTAAAATTAGCAATCTACGATAAACGTGTTGGACTTGTTTCTTATAGACCGTACATAACTTATAAGAGGGATAGGCCGGTGCATACTTAATTTTATATCTTCAAAAATCTTGATGCCCGTCTTTTTGAAAAGTAAAAAAGAAATTGTCATCAAGAAATTTCTGTGAAAAAAGTAATCCCCCTACTGAAACTGAAATAGATAAATAAAGTCTTTTAAAAATATATATCAAACCTAGAAATCACCGAATAGAATGAAGGTGTAGTACTTTATTACCAATTCAAATATGCATTTTGGTATTCAAAATTTTTCAACTATCTAAAAAGAACTTTCCGTTTACTTTTCTTAGTGCAGAAAGCTAATTTCATACCGATTCATCATATTTATAGAATGCACTAGACAACTGTCAGAAAGTGGACATTATTCATTAATCTGCAATAATGAGACTTTACTGTCATTTTTAATTCAATAACTAGAGTCGTTATCACGCGTCTTTATTGGAAGTAAACTTTATATTTTAAACAGTTTTGATGGAAGCAATCATAATATGGTTAACTTATTTGAGATATCAGTTTCATAGATCACTACGGATAGATTTATTTGTCTAGAACATATTTCGTCCACTTTCTTATTTATGATATGAGCGAATGCGATAATTACCAGGCGGCGAATGCGTCAAGGAAACTGGAACTCCTCACCCTTCCTCAGCTCTGTAGAACTAATACTGCAGAAAAATCTCCATCCCCATATAGTTTTTTTTCGTATTTTACTTATAATAAATTTAGTTTTCCGAAATCCGATAAAACACTTTTACACTGAAAGTAGCAATCACATGCGAGGCACAGGATTCGGAAGAATTATTTCCGATCTTTTTTATCTTTATTGTCTGCAAATCATTTTTCTGTCTGTCAACTCACAATATTTGATTCGCCAATAATATCTTTTAATTGTTCTTACTGGAAAAGCGAAGAGTTTACAGGACTATACAAATCTTGTCCCGTCATAAAGTATAAGAATAATAATCTCGATAAAAAAAAATGGTGATTTGTTGCTGCTTAATGTAAAGGAAAAATATTGCATGCTTGATCAGAATATAAATAAAGGTTGTAAGAAATGAAATGTCCGAAATGATCTCACAGATAAAATAAATATTTGGGACTTACAAGATGAGTAAGGATGACAGTCCATCCAGAATTCTATTTTCTACAGAAGTGATCATGTTTCCACTGAGATACCTACAAATGAATTTGAGAACTGAGTAATAAGTAATATTCATAGGTGCAACATTATATCTTATATAAACTGCATATCAAAAAGAAAGCTAAACACTTTACGTAAAGCCAAAAGGATTATCAATCTTTTTTTTTCTAAATGATGATTTTTTTGTTGTTGCTTAACGTGTATTTGCAAATGCTGTATGCGCCATAAGCACACAAACAGAAAAGGTAGATCAGTTTGTTAAATACAGTAGGTATTAGTTATAAGGCGTCCGAATAAAAATATTTCAAGGTTTTGTAAAGATGTTTTAATTCGTTATATAATTTCGATAATACTTACAATAAACTCTCCAGAATAGTTTGTAATGATATGGAAATTTAATAACTCGAGAGTTCACATCAAGCAATATCAAATTACCTCTCGTTAAGAAACTTATAAATCTATTTTCAAAGTCTGTAAATTTGTCAGTCCTACAAAAGTGCTACCTCTTTAGAACTAATATTGCAGATTTTTTCTTTTATACAAACAGAAGACAATTAATGAAATTGTAATGGAAGCAGAATGTTATTTAGGTATACTCTAAAAGCGATTCATACTATAAATCAGCGCACGACTAACGTTTAATAACCCATTAATTAACAAAAGCTTGAATGATTGGGATGAAATGTTTGATATAAAAATCAGCTAAAACAGATCTTTTTTTCAAAGATAAGTTAAGATTAAAAAGTTTAAATTAACAATCTTTTATTTCTAAATTGCTTTATATCAGAATTTCTGTCGTATCTACGATCAGATTGATTTTAGCTGAACTATTTTACATATTAATTTATCAATTTAAAACAGCGTATTGATAAAGTCATTTGTTTTTATATCAGGTGTTGTAAACAACCAATTGTAACAATACAAATATAATGCAGTAAACAAGATTAATCTAATTCTATCTTTCCACAGTTAATTTTACATTTATTTTGTATTTAGCAGCACTATACAAGGACCATCTATATAATGATTATATACCTCCTGGTTGATACGATATTTCATAGCTTGCAATTAAAATGATGAGAACTTCCTTGATACAGAGTTACTGCATACGAAAAAGCTACTTAACAATGGCTCTCATGGAAAATAAATGTTATCTTTTTTTAAAAACTTTTTGATCGTTACTATTATATGGTCGACTTTTTGAGATATCTGTTACATAGATTTCAATCGATTGATCCATATGGCTTGACCATATTTTGTCACCTATGTTCCATTTTTGCGGTTTTTACCCGATTTCTCCTTTTTTAAGAAAGAACGCAGATGATGAATGTAGTGAAACATGAACTATACTCATATAAATGAATTTAGTCTTTTCACATTCAGCATAATATTTTTACACTCGATGTATGCACTCACAGGGGACACACAGGGGACACACAGGGTTCCCCAGAATCATTCACGATCTTTTATATCTTTTTATCGTTTTTGCATTTTATCCATATTTCTGTCTGTCAACCAAACAGTCTTTGAATGACCTATTAGTATTTTTTAATTATTTAACTAATGATTAAAAAAAAATTTGTCATGTCAAAAGATATTAGAATAATAATTTCGATAAACAAATAGTATTCTTTTTTTTTGTTACTACTTAATGTAAAGGGGAAAATATTGCATGCTTCATAAGAATATAGATATAAGTTGTAACAAATGAAATGGTAGAAGAAATATTATAGATGAAATAGATAATCGGTACTAACAATTTTTCTAAGGATGATAATCCATCCAGAAATCCATTTTCTACTGAAGTGATTCTGTTTTCACTGAGATTTCTACAAATGAATTTGCTAATTAGATAATAAGTAATTTACCTAGGTGCAACTTTATACCTAATATGTACTGTATAAAGAATAAAAAGTGAGTTTAGATGATTACAAATTCTAATAAAGTAAAAAATGTGAACTTCTCTTTTGAAATCATCAGCATTCTGGCAGGACCTGTATATGGAATATATATCGCCTATTAGAAACGATATTTGACAGGTTGCGATTAAACACATTAGAATTTTCTTGATAGAGAGTAACTGCATACGTAGAAGTAGTATTCTTTTTTTTGTTACTACTTAATGTAAAGGGGAAAATATTGCATGCTTAATAAGAATATAAATATAAGTTGTAACAAATGAAATAGAAGAAGAAATATCAGAGATGAAACAGATAATCGGTACTTACAATATTTCTAAGGATGATAATCCATCCAGAGATCCATTTTCTACTGAAGTGATTCTGTTTTCACTGAGATTTCTACAAATGAATTTGCTAACTGGATAATAAGTGATTTGCCTAAGTGCAACTTTATACCTAATATGAACTGTATAAAGAATAAAAAGTGAGTTAAGATGATTACAAATTCTAATAAAATAAAAATTGTGAACTTCTCTTTTGAAATGATCAGCATTCTGGCAGGACCTATATATGGATTATATATCGCCTAGTAGAAACGATATTTGACAGGTTGCGATTAAACACATTAGAATTTCCTTGATAGAGAGTAACTGCATACGTAGAAAATACTTTACAATGGATTCTCTATGGTAAGTTAACGTTATCTTTTCAACAAATTTTATGAATGCAATCTTCATGTGGTTTTCTTTTTGAAATATCTGTTTAATAGATCACAACCGATAGATCCATACGGCTTGGCCACATTTCGTCAAACTTTTGTCGTTTACGATATGATCGAATGAAATTATATCCCCCTTTTCTTTTTTTAAAGGAACAACGCAGTGGATGTTTCTTCTGAAACAGGAAATACTTATCCTGCCTAAGCTTCTGTAGAATTATTAATGCAGATATGAATCAACATCAATATATAGTTTTTTCGTATTTTACTATGATTTTTTTTTATCTTTTATGTTGTTAAGTCATATTTCGGTCTGTCAACTGAACATTATTCAATTGGCCAATTAGTAACTTTAAATTGTTCTTACCGGAAAGGGAAGGGCACTAAGAATACTTAACGGGTCTAACCCGTCACAAGAATAAACAATCTCGATGAAACAAATGGTGGTTTGTTGTTGCTTAATGTAAAGGTGGAATATAGTGCATGCAAGAATATAAATATAGGTTTTGAAAATTGAAATGACCGAAATGATCTCATAGATGAAATGAATATTCGGTACTCAAAGGGTTTTTAATGATAATAAAAAGTAAAATAACAAAAATACCAAACTCCAAGTAAAATTCAAAACGGAAA